TACTGGTATTGGCATGGACGTGACGCTACTCAAAACGATCAGGGTGCAGCCGCTCTGTTGACCGTACAACTAGACACAGAACAGGGACCGCAGTTGAGAATTGACCAGGGTCACGAACCGCCGGCCTTTTGGAATCTGTTCAAGGGGACGGCAATTGTTTACCGTGGCAAGAGACACGGGACGCCAAGTAATTATTAATTCATTGTTATTATATTAAATTTAATGGGTTGATTCAATGTTATTTTACAATAAATTATAAACCTGGTCGTTTCTATTTAAAATTGTACGTGTTTCTTATCTGGAGGATGGCGTATTATTTGTTTTTAAGTATGGATTTTTTTATATGGATGTAGTGTGCTGGTACCAATACAAATTGTACCATTTTAAGGATAATATTTTTGACAATAATACATATAGAAAAACTCGATTTGAAATCTAATTCCCTTCTGAGAGACTGCTCACGGAGTCACGAATCACGATGTATAATTTATGAGACGATTGTAATCAAAATACACCAATTTCAGGCACTTGGCGTCTATTTATGGTCCACGGGGCAAATGAGAGCGAAGCCCATTTAACCGAGGTACTGTGCTCTACAACGCAATTACGTAACCAAACGTCGTTTATTCTTCTCAACTCTGAAAACGGTACAGTTTTCATTTGGCATGGAAACGGATCTTCAGATGCAATAAGAGAGGTATGTTCGTTTCTACAATGTTCGGTTTGACATATGATGATTTTTCACCAATTATTCAAATTTGTTTTTATTTAGTACGCACTATTTAGATTTGAATTAGTAACGGACAAGTTAATAGTTACTAGCAATACATAATTTTTATTTTTTAATCGTTCTATATAAATATAGAAGTATTTACTGATATATAGTTCCGAGTCAATCTTGATTCTCGAGTATCTAGTATTTTTTTTTTTTTAGTATTCTTTTATATATGAGTTATGGCTTATGTTAAAATTTAAATTAGTTGTTTAATATATTATAATACATTAATGTCTTTTTTGTGTGAATAACGATTTGTACTCAATTTTATGAACAAAGTATATTTGAACACTTGTCCGGTTCTAATTTTAATATCAAAAATATATATCTTTTGAATAGTAAATAACATTAATTTATTATTATAAACTTATTTAGGGTTGGACAAATATTACTTAAAAGATTCAAATCAAGTATTCATTTTTATTATTATTGTAATTATAATTTATAGTTAAAAATAGATAAAAGTTGAGCGTTAAGAGCCAGTTTTAATATATGAGTGTGGAAAATATTACGATTTAAAAATATTCGTAACTAGTTTAAAAATCAAAAAATTGTAAACCCATGAGGAACATACTGTCCTTATTTTTAGGTTTGATAATAAATCAAATATCAATTCACTCTAATATTAAAACTAACTATTCAAAATTGGAACAGCTAAATATTATATTATATAGTATATATAATATATACACATATATGCTGTGATGTAGGTGCGTTTATAAAACACAGACATGTGATACGGGGTCTGCATTTTTTTAAATTATACCTATAGTTTTAAAACTGTACTTTTAACCAAGCAAAATTTGTTCAGAGAATATAATAAAAAAAATGAACATTTCCTTTGCATTAGAGATCAATGATCTTCTAAATTAAATTAAACAACTGATTGTTCAATTTAAAATCAATCCTCCTCCCAACTTAAAACATGCATAACACATAATCAGCTAATAGCTGTTCATAGTCTAAAACCAATAACTTAATGTTACTATAATAGGCCCCGTAACATAATAAATCTAATGCGTATAATCGCACCCATACTCACGCCTCTTAACTTTATAATAGTATCAAAATTGATTAATTCATTAAAATATTATGTTCTTGCTCTAAATCTAAATACAGTGTCAACTCAACATAATAACAGTTAATTAGTGAGAAAAAAACGATACAGCTGTGTAATGCATAGTATGTGGCATTCATTTATCGCGTAATCATATAATTATTTTATTAGTCACGAACGATAATTAATTTTATCACTCTAGAATAATAACAAATTAATCGACTATATCATGAGCTTCTTTTGCTGTTTTCACCAATACATTAAAATATCGTATAACAAATAGAAGGGGCGTCATTTCAGTTTTTTTTCTGGGTGTGCAAACTTTTAGGCAGGCCAGTTGTGACATTTCACCAGGCCATTAAAAAAAATATTCAAAGAATTTTAAGCTTAGAAGCAATTAAAGCAACCAGCTAAAGCCATTTCACTGTTATTTGAAAAAAAGGCAAATAAGATATAATCAATAAACCTGATAAACCAAAAATACACAAAAACATGAAAAAAAAATATTTTATTAATATTTCCTATATATGAAATCATAATGTACAAGTTAATTATGATGGCTCATTGGAGTATTAATGGCGGGCCAAACGTTAACATTTCTTAAGTTAGTGGTGCCGTTGCACATCCTGATCCCCCCCCCCCCAAAAAAAAAAAAAAAATTACGCCCCTATCAAATAGTTTACGTGAGTGTGTCTGAAACTCATATCATGAAAATATAAAATATGCACACCGGATAAGTAAGGGCCATCTTGCGTCACGAAACATTTGTATATTTTTGTAGCATCATCTTTCTGTGTACAATTCCTATATGAGTATAAAGTATAAACTGGTAAAGCACGATTGAGCATAATACCATTGGGCATTGAGCATATACCTCACGGTAGATCATAAAATATTTTATGCAACGTTGCCACATTCGCATTGCCAACATTTTGTAAATTATTATTTTCGAGTATTATTACACCAATTATTATGTGATACCAAACCGCGAGCCATAAGTCTAGCTTTATCAACTATGTTATCGATTAATAAATTAGTCCCGGAGGAACAATATTAGTTTTACCCGTAATGTACTAACTGTTATAGATGTGATGTCTTAAATATTTAGCATTAGGGAGAAATATAATATGATAATTCAAATAAGTAACAATTTCAAAATGATTCAGTGTGTGTAGTGTTTGATCGTCTATAATTGTTGTGTCACATAGTACGTTGAAAAAAGTTTTATTTTTTTTACATATTACACGGACAAGTCCGGATTAAGATATCTTTGGGCCCATAAACATAATCAAAATATTGGTGACCCACAAACAAAAATATTTCAGTGATATAAAATGGTTTTGATATTATAACATATTATATTGAAATATTTATATTTATAAAACAAAACACTAACATAAAAACTTGAACTTTCCCCACTATTATAATATTATCGCGACGGCCAGACATTGCAAACCGTTAAGTTATATAAGTATATGACTTCAACTGATGACTGTACAACCTTAGTACAAGAACAACGCAAAATAAAATGTGTTTGGCTCCAGGGGCCAACTATTGTTTGATATCCGCTTATAGGCCCAGCCACTCTTAATCTGGGCTTGAATATGGTAACTGAATATGAATAATTATAGGTTATTGAACATTACATAAACTGAATTAATTCTATAATACATTTGGAATTTTTACTTAATATTAATCTTAATTATCTCATATTTTTTCCTCATTGCTAAAGTTAACACCTTAAAACATCGCATTTATAACGTCCACTGGTCAGTATATTATAGATAAAACTAATATTTATTGCTCCGGAACTAATTTATAAATCGATATTAATACTGTCGACAAATCTGGGCTCGGCTCAAAATAATTATTGGTGTAACAATACGTGAAAAAAAATAAATTATACAATTTCGGCAATGTGAATATGGCAACGTCGCATAAAATATTCTGTGCTTTTTGTTACTAAAAAGGTATATGCTCAATCGTGATTTACCGTCTACATCTGCAATATTAATAATATATATAATGAATGGTGAAGATTAAATTTTTTAAATTTTTGGAATGCCGTAAAAACATTCTGTTAAACATTTGTACCTAAGCTAATTTACATTGTGTGTATATGTATTATTACAGCTATCGTTAAAAGTGGCCGGAAGTCTGTCAAAATTAGACGCAGCGGAATTAGGACTAGCCGATGGCTTCGTCCCACAGGAACCGAAGACTGTTAGTGAAACAAACGAGTCATTAGATTTCTTCAAAGGTACGTGAAATGAAAAACGACAGAGGTTTTCGAGGCATGAAGGACTTGAAAATTCGAATAAATTATAATAATAACGACAACAGACAACCGTGTGCATAATATTATATTGTGTGTTTGCTTACTCATATACATAGCTCTGGGCTGCAAGAACCCTCGGAGACTCTGCAACCAGCAATTGTCTCGACCGGTCGGACATGGTGCAGGCGAAATGAAACTGTTTCATTTCTCATCAGTTCTCGGACAGTTCAAAGCATCGCTGGTGGCTGGTGCATACGTACCGTCGCCATATCCGTACTTGCAAGATCACCTGTACAATGTCAGCCAACCAGGTAGGTGATCTGTCGTAGTCTCTTATAATACGACCTTATCATTTAAAATGTATCCATAAAAAAAAAAATGGACATATGGTGTAATTGCGAATTAGTTATTGATAAATATTATAGCTAATTATTATAAGCAATTATGCCTAGTGGCACACGAATTTATTTTATTCTTTAAAAATAATAGGAATTTAAAGATGTCTTACACCTATGTTTCATTTTACGTTTAGCGACGTTCATGCTTGACACGGGCGAGGAGCTGTGGCTGTGGCAAGGATGGTGGCCCGAGACGGCGGCGGTGACGACGGGAGATGACGATGACGATGACGCGGAGCCCACTACCTTGACGGCAACAGCTTTAAACCATCGCGGATCGTCGTCGACCCGACTCCAAGCCGAAAGGCGAGCGGCCATGCAAACAGCGTTGGATTACTGGAAACGACAGTACGGCGACGACGACGACAACGATCCTAAAGCGTTTCTGGTATGGGCCGGACTCGAGCCGCTCCGGTTTACGGACTGTTTCCCGGAATGGTGCGACCGTGACGATATCGCCGAAATCAATATGAAGGTAACAAATCACCCCCCCCCCCCACCGAAATTCATTAAATACATTTAGGTAATAATATTTAATATAATTAACTCAGTGGGAGGGTATTTACCCCATTAACACACGCACCCCTTGCTTCCGCCACTGCTTTTATGTGGCATGATTCAAGCCGTTTACACTACAGGTTGTATATCGTTTGATTTGGGTATCTTTGTTACTCCTGCACGGGCCTTGAACCATAAATCCTATTGTGGATCTAGGGCTGAGTCGCCTAGTGCCCTAGTGGAATGAGTACAATCTAAAACATAAAAAATATTCTTAAACCACAACCGTGATGAAACTGATGGACCATAAAAAAAATGATAGTTCGTACATAGTATATAAGAATATATTTCGTTGGATTATAGCCTATATGGGGAAAGCAAAATAAGCAAATGTTCATACGGTCCAATAAAAATATAAAACTCATTAATACACAGATATTTTTATAATCAAAAATATTTTTTTTTCTTTTATGGTGCAGTTCTTTCAACTATTGTATTGTTGCTATACTGCTATCATTGCTTTCATTAGGTATTCGTATTTTATATTTTATATTTCATACCAAAAACAAGGAATATTCCAATTTTAATAAATAAACTAAATCACATTAATATACAAACAGATTATATAATAAATATTATAAATCATTTCAATTATTTTTCATCCTTTTCTCCGTCTTAAATGGTTATTCCCATTTCTTTCGTTACTTTATAACCTCTGACTCCTGTATCTTTCCGGATTTACCTGATGTATGAATTCCTAGGTCGTCCTGCAGGGAGTTACCCGTTTCCGCCAAAATAATATTGGCCGTTTCCACCATAGCCCTTTTCCGCCAAAAACGAAAAAGGTTCGATTCCCGTTTCCACCAAAAGACATTTCCGCAAAAAAAGTTTGGTAACCAATGGTCTTAATTTTTAAGCAATATTTATGTTTTGGTATATATAAAATAAAATAGTAATGTAAAATGTAGGTAATAGCAATGATACATTTGTAAATAATTGCGAATAGGTACAACAATATACAGTGAATATATTTTTGTGAAAAGGCGTCTCCGTCAATTTAAGAACCATGTACAAATCTTACGTATTCTTATCATACAAAAATATTTTTATTATTATAAATTATAGTACAAGTAGATAATGATAATACATTATATTTAACTATTTCAAATTATAATACAAGTATAGGTCAAATATAGTCTCAATAGAGTTTTGAAAAAACATATCGTTATTTTTAAATAATTAAAAATTTCATAAAAAATATTAATTATTATAATACAAGTATATGTCAGGTTTTAAAAATCACATTCTTAAGTATAGGTTAGGTTTAAAAAAAATCATATAATTACAAGAAACATCATTAATCTTCAAAGTATTAACTAAACTTACAGCACTGTGAATATCAGCTATGCATGTTGGATTCGTCGGTAAAAACTGATGACGAGCACGGTACACACATTTTCGTAATGCAGAGATATCATTTGTTGTCAATTTGTCATTGTTGGGGCAACTCCAAAAGCATTAATTTCTCCTGAAAAACAGTTAAAATAATAATTTTGACTAAATATGTTGTATACTTGTATAAGTTTAATAGTTGAATCTCACCTAGTATTATTTTTCTAGGTCTTTGACCAATATCTTCGACAGCTTTCCGCTTACATGTCGTTGCTAATTTTTGACGATCTATATTTTTGACTGAACAATTGTCTTCATGATCACCTATAATAAAGAATAAAGAGATAATCATATATAATAAAGAATTAATTAATTTCATTTTTCATAAATAATTAAATGAATATATTTATTTTACTCGTAGATAGAAAATGTACCTTTCGTTTCAAGTATTACTTTTACTTTTTCCAAAATTTTGGCCGGACAATTTTTCATGAAACATCTCCACCGAGTTACATTTGCTTGTGACGTATAACCAAAAACATATTTAAAACCATCAAATATCAACATCTTTTTACCTCTTTTGCTTTCAACAAATTCCATTTTAAAAACCGTATTAACTGTTGTTCAACTGACGAACAGAACAGATACTGAATCGAAATATAAGAATTTAACATTTGTCAGATAATTATTGTGTGCGAATTATAAATAAACTATGATACAGTGTATACTTCCTTCCGTTATCGACGATTATCAACAATTATCGAAGATTATCGCTGTATATATTGTTGTACCCATTTTACATTACTATTTTATTTTATATATACCACAACATATATATTGTTTAAAAATTAATACTATTGGTTTCCAAACTTTCTTCTGCGGAAATGTCTTTTGGCGGAAAAGGGCTATACTTAAATCAGGGAACCGGTTTTTTGGCGGAAACTAGCGATGCCCGTCCTGCAGGTTACCATGGTATTCTTTTCCCTTCCATCATACTTAGTATAATAGTATTACCTACATATTTTAGTGTGTTGGGTTTCTTCTGGTTGTATGTCCAAAAAATTTGAACTGTTTCTTTTTAATTAATGACAATTTTCATAGCACGTTCTTCCTAGTCCCAAAATGTTCACGTACTTTTTTATTTTTTTTTAGTAATATCCAACTTGCCAGCTTATTACTTATAAACAACTAAAGTGCTTCTAGTGCTTTCGTTTCAGTTTCCCTGTATAAATACTCGTAGCACAAAACATGACAGTTTAAATATAACTTACGGAAATTATATTAATATCTGAATCAGTACGTACCTAAATAATTAGATATATTATTAGACTAGGTGCAAAGAACAAGTATATTTTAAATTAACATGTAGACAAAAATCCTAATAGTTTTTTTAATCTCCCATGTCAAGAAAAAAACTAATTGCTAAAAAATATTTAAACCTCTCCCGAGACGTGTTAAACTTTTATTGTATAATAAGTATTTAGGCAAAGATAAAAACGTTTCCATTGTGATTTCAGCACAACCACAAGCCTGGCGAGACGCAGCTTGTCGAAATTGAGTTGGCGCGTATCACACAAGAATCCTATCCAGCTGCCCAGCTACTCCAGAGGCCTCTACCCGACGGCGTCGATCCCACCAGACTGGAGCTCTACTTGTCACCGGCCTCGTTTAAAGTAAACTTTACATAACAATATATAATAATTAATAAATAATGAATAATAAGTACCCCAAAAATCACCATTCCGATTCTGTCGTTTTAGACTTGAAATACTTTCCAATGAAATACTTACTACGTTTTCTTAACATATTTCATAATTACCTACCTACCTAAAAGTAAATAAGATACTATTATGTAAATTCACTATTCATGTAAACAATTTGAATACACCATTAAATTAACATTAACTGAACGACTAACAACAAATTATCGATCGCTCGCGTATTAAATTTAGAATTAGAAAAAAAACTATGAAGTATTAACCTATCTATAAATATTTATAGGTGCACACAAATTTTTTTTAGTCTCAAAGTTAAGCTTACATTCAGTTCTAAGATTAAATCGATGGTATTATTGTATCTTCGTTTCTATTCACATTATTCATAAGAAGTTATTGATAAAAAAAATCATGTGACGTCATTAGGCCATGAGTCCAGACAGAGGCGTACCCATGGGGGGGGGCTTATCCCCCCCGTAGATTGACAGAATTTAAAATGCATAAGGTGTAAATACCACTGATAGTATAATATTTTTACACATTATAAAAATTTGGACCCCCCCTCCCTTTGAAAAATTCCTGGATCTAAGTCCAGATATCTATATCAGATCACTGTTTGACCTAATACTTTTAAAAGTTGTTCAATTGACACTTTTTCACACAATTTTTATCTGTATATATTTTTAAATGATTGGTTTTTTCATTGGATCATTTTGGTAAATCTGTACAGAATAATTTAACTGAAAATATTAATTTGGAGAAAAACAATTTTATTGTGTTGTGCGCTCCTTTAAAACAATTATTGAGATTGGATCTACCCATATTAAACCTAACCTAACCTCGAAGATTCGAAGACCCACAATCTACATTCTACATGGTATTATATTTCAAGAACTACAATATTTTAATCCAATTATAGCCCATGAACATTGTACATTCTCTTGATACATAACACAAACTACAAAGCGTATTGGTTGGTGTGGAGTAATTAATGTTAATCTTATCCGTAGATAATATTATACATTTATGTTGGAATAGATATTTACATTTGCCTACAATAGGTAGGTACTAAATATTTAGCCATTTAGGGATGTATTATATTGATTTAAAGTAAAAACAAAGAATATTTTGAATTTACCGTTGAAAACCCTTAGTTAATGGAGCATTAACAATATAAGAAGGTACAACGCGTTTCATATAGAATGAACTCTTTTTCGTTTACATTTTAAAAAGAAAAAACACGATCGTTTTTCCAGGTTTTTCTTTTTGTCTCAAGCGTTATTACAAAATATGTGAATACATAGATTTAGAAGAGACTAATAAATTAAGATTGACTTTAGTCAACGATCAGTTGTCGCTTTGTTTTCATTCCATATTTCCACCATGTCGACTCTACGAGCAGTACAGCTATAGAGTATAAATACTGTCACATCAGACATGCTAAAACGAGTTTACAGGAATTCAAGTACCATCTTGACCGTTTGTGTGTTGGTGGGAGCAGCGTTAATATGATAAAGGGGTGCTTGGGGGAAGGCCTAATCCCTATAATATATATTTTGTCCATGACAATGTACAATTAATAAACAAAATCAGTTAATTCTTTGTGGTCTAAGTGTATTTTAAGCTGAGAACAATTTATACAATACATACACACAATAATATACATTTTTTTTTTTACTACTCTATTAATTACCATAATTAATATTACACAGTACTACAACAGTTCTACAACTGAACACGTCGGGGAAAAAATGTACACTTGAGAAATTATTTGCCACCTGTGATATACATTTATATACCTGATGCATCTATGTCTAATTGTCTTTTGCAGGGTTTATTAGACATGAGCAAGAACGAATTCCTACAACTGCCAAAATGGAAGCGTACGAAAATCAAACAGTCTGTGGGTCTATTTTAATACGATCCAAAATTACCCACTCAAACTATATTGCCGTTAAATTTTTTTTATGTGTGTGTATGTGTGCGTGTGGATAAAAAAAAAATATATTGTGTATTTTTCTACTGTGAATTTTTATTTATTACATTTTAGAGGTACAATATATTTTTTTTACTTATACTATACGATGAGATGTAACAAGTTACTAAGACAAAACATTATTTCTATAATATTATAATTATAAGTAATATTTTACCTTAATGTTTTGGTTTGCTGACGTTTAATAACTTGTAACACTTTATGTATAACACGTTTTTCTAGACACGAGTTGTGTGCTAATTATTTTTTTACTATAATCTAAATACTCAACATTTTTTTATTTATATAATTACAACATTTGATGTTTATTTGTTTTGTTTTATTTTTAGGCTGTGATTCTTTATAATAACAATATTTTTCAATTAAAGGTCTCAATATTTTCATACTTTTCTATTAATATTTATGTATATTTATTTATGTCAAGAACAATTGAAGCTCAACTTAATTATTTTCAAATGTACATGTATTTAATATTACCTATATATTTTTGATTGTAATTTAATTGAAATTTAACTGAAATCAATTTAGTAGGTATTTATTTTATTACTTTTTGAAAATGATCATAAATGCCAAAAAATTTGTAAGTCAATGTACAGTGTAATGGCTGCATACAACCTTCGTTTTTGATGTAATGTCCTCCTGCAATATTTTGTTTTTGATTCGATAACATGTAACAAAAACTGTTCCTCTGTAATAACATGTGACATATTAAATGTCTCAATATTGTTACATTACCATTATCTGTTAACAAGTGGTTACTGCAGATGAACAACAATATATCGACAAAAGTGCGAATGGTGTTGCAGCCACCTTTAAATTATTAACGATGAACATTTGACACTTAAAATAATTCTTTTTTACCATATTTTTCCATGTAAACGCCATTTGATTTATATTATGATGTCCTCAAGTTCCTTGATCTTAAACCAACAACAGTGTTCCGTGCATAGGCTTATAATTTATAAGTATTAAGTCTATGGTTCAATGTTCCTTCAATATTCTTTCAGTTGTAAAAACATCAATTTTCTTTTGTAAATATATATTTTATGCTCACTCCAATTAATTGATACAGACACACTTTGTGAATTACTAATATTATTAATACACGGCGGTGTGACATTTAGCTTTAAAAATAATTATATTGTTTTTTTTTTCGTTTTAATGTGTGTTGGTTAACCTACCACAAGCAACTATTTTTACATTACCTTTTGTGATTTCAATAATGTTGTCAATTTCATTCATCAAATTATTTACATCTGTAACTAATAATTTTTTAACAAAAATAAATAATATTTTTCATAAACAAACACACTTGTCATTTGTATTTTCAATTTCTGTGTTGTCATATAACCGAGATAGGTGCAATTGATTTGAATATTAACTATACATATAATGTATAAAGTTATTAAACTATGTCATATAATCCTGACGTGAAAATGATCGATCAAAAATGCATAGCAATTAGTACATATATAATATATATTTATTCACTATAAGAATATATCATTAAGGTACTATTTTGGTACAGAATCAATATCATCATAAATATGTTTCTTTCTGATCGCCGAAGATGACATTTTTTGTTCATTACAAACCATTATATATGTAAGAGAATATACGTGTCAGAAAAATATTTAAAATAGCTACTTTATGTATACAAAAAAATAAAACTATTGACACATTATTAAATAAATAATTTGTTATTATTTGAATTATTGTCTTCAATAAATTGTTACAGTTAATACACAAAGATCACAGTTATTGAGCTTGAAAGCAAATCAGGGAGCATTCTTCTAAAATATGTAGAATAAAATAAGTCACTTCTCTCTTCATCATCAAATTAATTTTGTTGAATAATTGTTTACATTTTCCTTTGGCCCATTTCTTCTTCTGCTGTTGTGTCACAACAATAATTAGTATTATCTAATAGAAGCGCTTACTTTTATTCTTTTATTTTAATCGTGCACATTGCAGACCTTGTTATAAATTTGTTTCGTATGACCTAGAATCAAATACATTAAATTTTATTTTGCATATTTTTGATTGTCATGAATAAATGCAAATTTGAAAGAAATAAACTAAGAAATGCATAGTTCGTTGAAAGAACAATAGTTGTACCTATTGTAAATCAGAAAAGCTATAACTGAACACCAACTAATTTAATATTATATAAACCCATATAGTTGGTTTGAGGTTTCACAGATAATGTAAATGAGAAAATATGAAATGTGTATTTTTTTTAAAACTTTATCTTTAACATCTAGATGTTAATTGTTTAGTGAATTTAAGGTCATAAACATTCTAACCCTAATTATAATATCCTTAGTACGATATTCATTGCTTCTTCTGTGTTTTACACTTATACCTAAGAGCCAACCACCAAGACCACCTCGATTATGCAGACATAAAATATATTTTGCCCCCAATAAACATTCCATGTTACAACCATGCTAGTAAAGAAACATATAAAATTAATTTCAAGGAGTAAATTTATAATATAATGTTTGACAGTTTGCATACATGTGTGCAAAATTGAGCGTTGAACAAGTTGTATGTAGAATATACCAGCAATACAAATCGACTCGTATCCGATAAACCTTAAGTGTTGATTATTTTGTTATAGTACCTTTACATGAGTTTGTACATAACTACTTTTACAATAAATACAAAGTTTGCGGTATTATATTGGCCAAAATACCTACTATTATTTCATAATATAACATAACATTATTCTTTATAGTACACGATAAAAGGAACAACGAATGATAAAACTAAATTAAATTAAACTAAAAATAAATTTGTACACAAACATTTTGTAGTGCGGATAATCGACGCTCCACTGTATTTGCTATTCAATAAATATAACTCATATAAGTGCAACTAATTTTTCTTCTCTACGTTAGTGTAGGTATTTATGAACATTAGAGATGTACGATATTGCCTAACGCCTATGTTCATGTTGTTAGGCTATTTCAAACAAAAACAAAAATCATATTATTATACCTATTGAACTAAAACCAATATTCACTCTGTATAGACAAAAATTCAAAATTCATTTAACAATATCAAATATCCAACTAGAGTTTTGATATCAGAGTTAGCATAATGAGTCATATAAATTATAATTATTATAAGTACATCATCCATAAGTAATAATTATTATAAAGTAATTTGGTGATTAGTTCATTATAATTTATTGTGTTTTCAATTTTTCAATGATATAATTGTTCTGTTTTTCAACATTATACAACTTTTTTTTCTTTAAAGAGTTGAGTATATCTGATCCATGAGAGTAGTTTATTATTGCTACCAAATACATACAACATTTCAAGTAGTGTGAAACTTATTTATTATTATACTATGTTAATCTTTTTGATTTGAGTATATTTGAACAATTTTGGTATCACTTCAAGTATACATCAATACCTAACATGATTAATTAACCTGTGCATGTCTGAACATAATATGATAAAAAAACAAAATTTATCAGAAAACTTATAGTTTTTATATTACTTGTACAAAATACATCATAATTAAATTGAGTAAAATAAATGCTCAAATTTTAATATGATACGCTTAACTGGTTTTAAACTATGTAAACGTAAATACACAATTTATTATTTCAAGGAACTTGATTTTTATTTTATACATTATCGAAATATTTATCATTCGTTCTGGAAATGTGTATTTGTAATTTACAGTATTGGAAAACAAAATATTTTTTATAAATACAATCTGGTATGAAAGTTTTTCAAGAATAATAATAGAAAGCAAAATTTTGAGCTGTTAAAATTAAATTAAACATTCATATATATATAATTTGTTTTTAATGAATGTATATAATAATATGTGTTGTATGGAAAAAAATCGACTAGAATCATAACAACACACGATCAACCACCGAATATAGCTTCTTTTATGGAGTCTACATACTGTGCTGGTACCCAGTATACCCAGTAACGAGATGCTTCTGTTGTTCCCAACTGGAAACCCTGTAATATGAAAAAAACATTTACATATATAAATATATTATACAACCCATCATTTATTACCAATCAATAAAGACTGGAAATATCTGATCTAACTTCAAGAGGGTATAATCTGTACATTTCAGTAAAACAATCTATTTTGAATGGGAAAAATAAAATAACTGTTGTGTAGGCAAGCAAGTTGTTGATTTTTAAGTAATGAAAAGTTATCATATATGTACTTGAAAGTTAAAATATAGAAGATAATATTAATATTAAATAATTCATTCACATTTTATAAGTAGCTTTCCACAATAATATTTCAACTCTATAACTGTAATTAATTTTTAAAAAATTTTAAAAGTAGATTAAAACTGTATTTAGCTATTAAAATTGTATAATATAATCTATACCTAGAATATATTCCTAAAAAATGCATTAATTATTAGAGAAAATAGTATTCATTCATAAATTGTGTGAACTATTTAGTATAAAAAAAAATTAAATTAAAATATCTTGGTTCTAGTTGAATGACAATTATGTAATATTGAATAGTAAATAAAATTCAAATCATACTAAGGTTTTTCTTAAAACAATTTTACTATACTTTGTAGTTAGTAGAATCAGGTGTAAATTTATGAAGTTTTTGTGAGCAAGCTTAAATCTGTTATATAGTTATTTGAAACTAGATAATACATATTTTGTGAAAGTTAAAGAAAAAAAGTAGGCTTTTTAAAAATATACCCATTAGAAATCAAAATCAATCATATCTATAATCTTTCAACTTGTTTTTAAGTATAATACATTAATACTGTACAGATATTAAGCACAGATAATATAATTTATTTATTATTTATATCTACTCACAGTATAAAATAAGCAGACTTACCAATATATGATACTCTTCATGTCCTTCGATTGGTTCACTAACCACATGTCTGATTGTATTCATAGCAACCTTTTGGGTTCGTTCTTTAGTACCTATCCAAAGTTGATCCACTTCCAGTTTAAATGTCAGTCTTACTTTTCCCCCGTGCTTATTAAGCATTCCACTTAAAGGATGTGGTGGTAATGGATCCTAAAATACAAAATATTATGATTTATAATAACCATAATTACAAGTGAAGGTGAAGAGCATTTTTTTTTCATCACATGGTGGTTATCAACCATTTAACAATAAATTACAATAATTTAATTCAATTTTTTTTTTCAGTAAAGAAAAACTTAACTATACTCTGTCTCAAAAGAGAACAATCACTTTTTGAGCATTGTGAATGATGCAAGTCGAGAATCATGTGATCTCGTTACTGCTAACATCGCCACACTAAGTCATTGGTGGGAGAAGCGGAGCACTGATAAAATTTGGTCAGCCAACTGATTAATCTCATTTGAGACAGAGTATAGGTAACCTAGATAATATCACCTAAGTGGCATTTTTATTTCAGTCTTGAAAATTAAATTATCTCTAACACATGTTAAATAAAATAATTTAATAAATTATAGAAAAATTATTTTTTCAGATATCATTATATCAGAAATTCATATTTCATTAAACTTATTATTAATACAGACAAACAAACCTTAATATTTAAAATCCCAACCAAAGCATCATCGGGTATACCTCGCTCCAACACTTTTAGATGCAACTTTTTCTTACATAATGGTTCTTTAACTGATGAACCCGATTTAGATGAACCTGATTCCTAAGAAAAATACAAGTTCTATAAATCTGAAATAATTTAAAAACAATTCTTACAAACCTCCTCAACATTTGCTACAGATACAGCTACAATATCTTGTAATTTGGCACCAACTACCATTATTTTGGAAGAGGAACTGACATTTAAAGACTCTAGAGTTTGATCGTCTTTTGCCAAACCCTTGATCATGATTTTTTGCATCTTGCTTGGTACGCCTATCATGTCGACCAGTTTATCTTTAAGCTGCGCAATTGTAGACAATATTGGCATAGAAACCGTGTATTTATCTTTGTTGTGTATAATAGTGAATTCAACAGACGGGGATTCAAGGATTAAATCACTGGCTTCATCTTTTTCAGCAGATTCTGTCGATTGCTCCTCCACAGCACTTTCAGTCGTTATCTCCTTTACATCACTTTCAGTCATTTTCTCCTTGGCAGTACATTCAGAAGTCTCTTCCTTCACAGCACATTCCACTACTTTTGTTTCATCTTTGCCCTCGCTGTGACCGTTTATTTCTTCTAAAATCAGATACCAATATACAAATTTGATAAAAGTCTAATTTTAACAGTACCCATAAACTACAGTTACTCACCAGGCGACTCCATTTAACTGTCCAACAACAAATATCGTACAATGATAACAATATAATTTATTCTAAATTTCAATCCACCAGTCCAGTTCCCACATTGATTAACTCCTATCGATCAGTTAATAACGGACCTGAGCCTTCTTTCTTTGGGAAAACAATATATAAGTATTATGGACAAGCGCAACACAATAAAATTTCAACGTATACAAAACACCAAGAACATCAGCAACTAGACTAGTCAGTAGTCACAAAGCACTTTAATACTTTATTACTTTGTCACGATGATCATCATTTATTAAACAATATTTTAGAAGTAGATATACGAATGATACGAAATTTTTTGATTCCCGTGTTATCTTTGCGGCTCAGTGGTAGTAGCTTATCAATGTCGTGGACAGTGTAGCAGCTTCGAGAGAATTCAAAGAACATTCTCGGAAATGACCATGAGGGGGTAATCGGTCCAAAAGTCCACACTCATTTTTTTACTATCCACAAAAAGTCCGGAGATGCAAAACACTCTTATATTTTCATTTTTCATTTTTAATTATATCATTTATCATAATATTGGTACCTGCACATTATACTATTTATGCTACAACTATATTATATTCTCGTATATAATTAATATTAATTTTTAAAATGTAATTCATTTTATACATTGTGTTATAAATGTTATTAATTATTATATTAAATTAATAATATTTTGTTAGATATCATCATAGGCTATTTACGGTAATTAATTTTAATATATACATTTTACAATTTTATGTTGTAGGTATCCTCCAGTCCAAAACATATTATAATTTATAAATATCAATATAAAATTTTAAATGATTTGCCGTTACAGTCGCCATGGCAACCAAAATATAATAACAATTATTTAAATAAATAGTTATTAGGTTATATATTGATTATTTTTTAAACTATTTCGAGTAATTTATTTCCCTTTACAGTTTAAATTGCAACCAAACATTAATAAATAAACAAAATAGAATTATATTGACCGATTTTAAGTTACGCGACAAACATATTTGTACTTTTTCAGCATTAAAGTCGTAACATGAGAACAGCGTCCACCAAAAACATTATATAATATAATATTATGATAAGAATATAGTTTTACCATGCAGCGAAAAATAATCTAGTTTTTTTAACTAATTAAAATTGATTTACCGGTAGATACCCCAAATGTATTAGCATTTTTAAATTTTGATACCGAATACATAAGATCGCTTATAATTTTAATACTTTTTATTATGTTGATTAATTGTTTTCACTATTTGAAATACATTTGACTGCGGGCGCCTGTGTTCGCTTCCCAATATTATTTTTTAAATTTACTAAACGAATATTAATTTTTTTAAGTACATTTTTATACTCTTACCATCTATCCCATGGTGACCACGAGGCACTGAATTACAAAATTATGAACTTAAAAAACACTTAATTTTTTTTTTTGGCTTATTAATTAAATTAGGCTGCATTCTCCAGCTTATAGAGGTACTACTGTGTAAATTGTTATCTCCATAGTTGTGTTAATGAGGTTCGTATATTATTATCATGTACGGATAAGGGTCGTGTAAGTCGGTCGCTTGGTAACGTGTATTCGTCCATAAACAACAACAACAACAACAACAACGACAATACGAAATATATTACACATTAAAAAAAACTGATCACCGTGACAAACGATTTTTACTCGTATGTTTACGAACATATTATGTAAACACAGTACCTTGAGTGATAGAAACGCGGTAGTGCTTTACTGTATAGTGGGTTTAATGGCAGAATATGTGTAACAATTTTCTATTATAGATGGATACCTATGTATTTTTTTTAAGGTTTTCTTAACATACGCACGTTTACTGTTCAATTTCGATTTCTGTGAAAAAAAACAGAGTGAGGAAAACACCATGCGCACATTGTAATGAACTCGGTGGAGCTGACATCGGATCGCGGATCACGTTATGGCCGAGCTTTTCGTCATCGGACAACTGTGTAGCGCCGAGCAATTTCCGTCAAAGAGTTTATTTTGCAAATGGAGCGTTCACGCCGGTGAGGTCTACAGGTCCTTAAATATATTGATGTATTGACGCTGTTATATATTGTGATTGTATTGTCATCATTATTTGTATTTTTTATTCCAAAATAACATTTGAGCACTAGTATAGATTTATTATACACACATGCACCCACCCACCCACCCACCCACACACATATATATTCAGGGTGATTTTTTTAAGCTTGCTCATCCCGATTTTTCCCTTTAATAGTGCATTTATTCAAATTTTAATTTTTAGCAGTCTTAAGTAGACCTAAAGACCATATTTTCAAATTTCTGATATTTTTTGAACTACTTAAGGAGTATAATGTGGCGATACAAACTTCTATTTTTCAAAGAACCCCCCCCCCCCCCACATACATCTTTTTTTGCTGAAAATTATTTAGTGGATACTTTTTGAAAATGTAGATGTATCTAAATCAAAATTCTAATGAGTACTGAGTAGTTTCTGAGTTATTAAAATGTTTATACTATAAGGATCATCATAATCCTTAAAAATGGATTGTAAAAATAAAAACTGTACGTCATGTTAGTTGTAATATTTATTATACTTGGATCATTTTTACAAATTATTTATATTGATAAATCAATAGTAATTGCTAACTTTTTAGATTCGTCTAATCCCCCTAATTTCCAACCTATTTTCTTAATCTACGATATTACCATATACATATGTTACGGGCAAAGTGGAAAATTCGGGTAATGTATACAATGCCCGGGCATTGTACACAGTGACCGGGCATTGTATACAATGTCCGAGGTATATTGGACAATGTAAATTGTGAAGTATTTATACAAATAATCTGCATAATATTATTTTACCTAATCAATGATATTATATACTAATAATTATTATACTCGTTTATATGGTTATTTATATAAGAGTATTA